TTATTTTTATACTATGAATGAATGAATATCCAAACTGCTTAATACGTGTGAAAACTGTTGCACTCTTGTTTTACTGTCAGCATCCTGTGAGTGTGAGATTTAATGATACTTAAGATGGAAATTTAAACCGACTAGCCATTTTAATACAAGTGTCACCCTATTTGACATCAAAAGCACCTGTTGGTTGAACAAAAATTGGCACCTTTGGTTGGCTTCGCTTTAAAAAAGCACTTATCAAACAAGACCCATCTCCAAATAAATGAGGTGGTGGAAGGCAGGAACAGCGTACCGGCTGTGTCAGTTGGTCTGCTGTTCTCTAAGTAAACCTCCGACTTCCCCTGCTGTGTTTTCTTTATTATACGCATATACAATGCGTACCAAACTATGTTAAATTGTAGTTTCTTCATCTCTCATTTGCTCACCTACGTTATTGTCTTTTTACTTGTCTGGGAGCCTGTTATGTAAATGTCATTTAAATGTCAATTACATTGAATTTAATTCCCATCTGCAAATGAAACAAGAACAGTGAGAGTGTGTTATGATACACACACTTACATATAATAATAAAGACACTCACTGTCTGCATTCACATTATAACTGCTGACCCCTTGGTATTGCTTATTGAACCATGAGGATCAGATAAATGCTTACTTAAAACACTTCTACAACTCAGATCAGAGGAAAAGGGAAATGATTCCAACGATGTGCTTTGGGATGCAAAAGTATCACCGTATCAGTAACAATCCACTTTTAAGCCGACCGGGGCTGGAACCGTTTACTGGATTCATCTTTCTTCAATAAAATGTGAGAAAATAGTTTGAGCAGTTAGTTAGCTGTACTGTCTTTAGATCAGTCAGTCACACTAAACAGTCACACACATTTAGAAAAACAGTTCTAGAAGTGTCTGTGACCCTCTGACACTCTCATTATAGTTAGAAAAGACTGAGTGGAAATGATAGCAAAAAAACCTCTACACCCACTCTACCATGAGTCAGTACGATGGTTGTGCATGGGGGGGGGGGGGTTGTTTTGGGTGAAAACATGTCTGCCCTCGTGTGCGTTTGTACTTCCGTGGGCACATCGGTGTAGCAGTGAGCAAGGAGATATCAAAATTCAAAGAGGAAGGGAAGTGACGGGGGGGGGGGGGGATATATTCAGGGAGAGTGACAGAGAGGGGGAGACAGAAATCACATCCACTACGAGAGGCTCCAGGAGTCTGCCCAACAACTGCACTGATGCCTTAAACATTAGACCCAGATTCCCTATCTCGGTGAAGAGGGGCTGAGAGGAGACGAGAGGAGAGGGAGATGGGGGACGACATAATATAGAGGGGAGGTTATAGGGAGCACAGGGTAGGGCGGGGATCTGTTTTGGATACAAAGACAGTGCTGCTGAGGGACACACTGTCGAAGGGTGGAATGTGTCAATTGACCTATAGCGACACATCCAAGCACTGTGTGTTGTCCAGCAGCTGCCAAGCAATGCCTGGGTTATGTGCCTTGCTCAGGGGCACTTTAACCTGACTTTTTATGGGAGGGGGAAGTGTGTCTGATCTAAGGATGCAACTTAATATTGTTAGTCAATTAATCTGGCAAATATTTCTTTGACAAATCCACTCAATGTCAGAAAAATAGCGAAAAATGTCCCAAACTATTTTGTCTTGAAATTGCTCGTTATGTTTGATCAACAGTACAAAAACTCAAAAATATCCAGTTTAATAAAACATAACACGAGAAAGAGCAGCAAATCCTCTCGCCGGAGAAGCTAGAAATAGAAAATGTTTAGCATATGGCTGGATTAATCCACCATACTCTTATTCACTTCACCCTCACCCTGAGCACAACCCCTTTGAAACAGTCTGGATGTGGTATTGATGACGGATTGATGGATGAAGGCTGATCGACGGTTCTGTGTGACTGGAGGAAGAGGAGAGTGTTCAGGGTGGCTACAGCAGCAAAGGCCGCTGCTGTGATCACAATTGAGCAACAATTATTTAAGAAAGTCAGCTTGTTGCATTATAACTCAATAAGAGATTAGATGTATGTGCCTGATACGGTGCTGCAGTGGCTTTACAGAAAGTTGTATGCCTCTTGTGGAACACAGTCACAGTGTACGATGTGCTGATCCACTTGAATGATTGGCTGCCTGCAGGGTCACTCCAGCCCCTGATTGGCCACTTAGTTTCACGCTCCAACCAACATCAAGCTGGCTGATTTAAATTTCCTACGGACATATTTAGTGGCTTGAATGTTCAGTTGAGCAGCTGCTTCGCTTGTTTGCTGAAACCTTTATGACGTTTTGTTACGTTCAGTCTACTTTCGTGAAGTCGTATTGTGAAAGCAATCATGCAGCTGATATGCACATATCCTGTTGCATTGAATTACACATGAAATTGCTTTATATATGTGAAAAAGAAAGACTATTTGAATTATTCTTCAATGCATTTAAACTTCAAAAACATCTGCAATTAATTCAGCCACTGGATGCACGGCCTTGGCTGCCTGATTTAGAACAAAATAGCCATGTTGACTTTGACTTAGTTTGTCCCCTCGCTGGTCCCAGACCAGCCAAGAATATTAAGCAACATTGGTTTTGACAAGAATGACAAGGCACAGTACCATGTGTGACTAGCGAGTAAATAGCGAGTAAATCGAAATGTTTTCAAACTCAAAAAAGAAGATACTGGACTCCTGAGCAAAGATCGGTGGTGAGGGCAGGGGGACAGCCGTTTATGAGAAGGTGAGAGCCGGATAGAGAGAAGGTCAATGCGGAGGATGGGGGTGAGTTTGTGGGCTCAAGTATAGGTGATGCTAACGGGTGTAGGGAGCGCTGATTGGGAGGAGTGGTGGTGGTGGCAGGGTGTTAATTTGGGAGTTTCAGAAGAGGAAGGAGACCCCCGGGGCCCTCTGTCGCTCTGTCTCTCTCTCTCAACCGAAATAAACTGCAGTGCGACAAACTCGTCAAGAGAGGCCAGCGAGTGCGTGCACGTGTGATACAGAAGCGGCCGTGTGTGTTTCTGATTGTGAGTGTTTTTGCTTCCGTGTGTGCGGGGCGGGTTCACATGCGTGTGGCGGGCTGCCTGGAAGCTCCCTGTGTGCAGGCGTTTCATTGGAGAGGCAGATGAGCGGAGCAGATATCCCGGGGCGGCCTGGCAGTGGCCAGAGCTTTATCTGAGCTGAAACGATTTTAGCACTCCGTTTTGGAGCACTAACCCATGAGCAATGTCACCCCCTCCTCCTCCTCCTCCTCCTCCTTCTTCTCCCTATCCTTCCTTCCTTCTTTCTCTGTCACTTTGTCATGTTCTCCTCTATACTGCTACTTATTCTCTCAGCTCATCTCTCCTGTCTCTTTCTATCTCTGGCTGGCTACTGGCCACTTGATTAGGGTGAAAGAGTGAAAAAGAGAGAGAATGACAGCAAAAAATAATTTATTATTTGCAAAATCAGTTCTCTATTATTATTTTGTTTTTTATGTTTGTGTTCAGTTTATTCTGCCTTATGCAGTTTAATTGATAAAGTGTGATTTTTAAATAGCTATCATTAGTATTTTAAATACACTGATAACATTTATCAGGCAGATACCAACGCAAAAAATGCTGGATCGGATATCATTGACGATGGGCCAATCTCGTTAATTCAATGCTATGTTTAAATACTATATTGATTATATGCTGAGATCCTAATTCCTGTTTACATTTTGACCAATTTACTGCTGCAATAAAAGAGTTTACATTTGAATTGTAATTCCTTTTCATTTTAAAGATGGTTTCCTGTTGCTGGTGTGCAGTTTATTGATTAAATAATATATAACAATTCAGTTCATTTATACCTATATATTCGTTACATTATGTTTTACGGAGTTAGGAAATAAATGTTTAAGTGAAGCCCGATGTTATCATACAGAAACGTAATGATCCCAGTCACCTCCACACAGTGAGGCCTGCAGCTCATTAATTAAACACTGAAACAGACGGATCGGTGCATCCATGAGCATTGGAGAGAGAGACAGCATGGAATGAATTATAAATTTACTTTAGTAAATAAAACTGTGTACTCAAGGGCAACAACTATTATTGTTCCAACGATTATTTTCATTATCAAATAATCTGCATATCAGGTTCTCTAATAAATTGATCAATTGGTCCATGAAATGTCAAAGAATACTAATAAGAAACGTCCATCACCATTTCTCAAAGGCCAAGGTAACCTACTGTCCAAAACTAAAAGAGATTTAGTTTAGCATCATAGAAGACAAGATAAGGTCACGTGACTACCTGTCAGTCAGGTGGGTTCCTGAAAGCCCAGCTGATTCTGCTGGTGGCAAACACTGACATTAAGTAGTGTTCCATTGCATTATCCCAGTCGGAGGTTGGACATTCGGACTTTCCTGGACGCAGCGTTACAGGAGGAGTAATCCAGGTGGAGCCTCCCTCACCGCCCATCTCCCACTTCTCAAAGCCCCATGGTGTTTAATCCCTTCACCAAATGTCCCAGATTTTACATGAGACTCTCCGGCAGAGACACTGGTCTTCTGCAATCAGAACCATTATCACACTGGGTCAATGGCAAGGGCAACCAAGCAGCAGCATACAGTAAATGGTATCTTTCCTTGTGTGAGTTCTGTGTGTCTGTGTGTGTGTGTCCTCTCTCTCCCTCCCCACTGGGAATTAAGTAGCATTACGAGGAAATGCTTCTAGCTGAGCTTAACTGCATTACAAGAACAGGTAATATACCCTGAGAGAGTGTGTGAGTGAGATTGAGCAAGAGGATAGAGGGTGGAGGGAGACGGAGAGAGAGAGAAAGAAAGAGGGTCTTAAGTGAATTGTCAACTCAAACGCTCTAATCACAGAGAAAGCTCTGGACAAAGAGCGCCCACGGACGCCAACGGAGCGCACCCTGGGGGCAACGAAAGGCCACTTAGCCCTATCTGCCTCCCTCTCTAGCTCTGCTTCTCTCTCTTTCTCTCACTGTATATAGAGGCGGATGTCTTCAAAATAATACCTTCCACAACACCTGAGACAGGAAGGGAGAGAGCAAGACTGAGGAATGGAAGAAAGTGTGAGAAAACTAAATATACACACCATTATGAACAATACACAGGTAGATCATTTATCGGGCAGAAGGACTCAGCTTGTGTGCAGTTACGGAGCAGTAAACTCCAGTAATCATCTTTTATTAGCAGCATTTTCATGCATATTTGACTTTAGTCTTTTGTTAGTTTAAGTTTAATTTGGTTGAGATGGTTGATAGACAGTTAATTCTAGACTTTGGAAACAGCAGGTGCATATTATCATACAACAAACAGGGGAGGACAGAATTATTACACAAAGATACTTGGTCCCGAGCAGCTCGGAGGAGTTTTAACAGGGGCCTCCATTCTGGCCCTCAGAGGCTCTGCAGGACCTCCACTTTCCATAAAGCCCATAGGCAGATCACCGGCTCCCCGGGGCTCGGCAGCCATGATGGCTCTATTCAACAGTCCTCCTAATGCTATGCCGATTGTCTGAGCACAGCTAGCATGTTGTGTGGCTAAGCACGGGTCATTTCCTCATTTCCCCCATGTCTCTTTTCAAACGTCCATGCAGGGAGGGCCTTTACCGGGGCGATGGGGAGCCATTGATGGTGGATTTCACATGTGAGAATTCAAACTGGAAAATCGCAATGCATATGCACGATCAATGGAATTTAATTTGAATACTGGATATGGAAAATTAAGAAAAATTTAGAAATATCTGCAGAATCCCATCACCTGGAGTGAACTAAGTGTGGAGAAGGAGGTCTTCTATGGTACAATAAGTAGAGTGTACCATAGAAGACCTGTATGATTGAATAATGTATGATTTAAACTCTTGGGATGTTAAGTTTTGACGGTTTTGTTTTTCTGGTCTTTTAAGGTTCAGGTCCATTGTCCGTTTGGTCAGTTCACGATTCAATTCCCAAAAGCAATAAAGGATCAATTGATTTTCACTTTTAAGCTTTTTTTGAAAGACAAAAGTAATTTATTGTTTAATTTTCAACTACTAGTTTTCCCAAAAGAACAGATTAAAGAGGAGTAACGATGCACTGTGTCACAGTCACTGACTAGTGAAATCAAAGCTGTCCACCACAAAGGAGCAAGTCACAAACTTTTCTCAGCTCCCTTTTAAGCTCACATGGACGATTTGACTGTTCTCGGATCATTTTCTAGATGGTCTGGAAATAAAGTTGCCTTGTAATTGCCATGTACACATATTTGAATATCAGAGAGTTGCCTTGGTCTCTGTGACAACTGACTGACTGTAGAGGAATGCGCTTGAATTTGTACGTACATACATACATACGACACACTACTGTCTTCCATAATCTAAACAACAGGAGGGTTTGTTTGCATGACAGACAGACTTCATGACAAATTCATTGGAGGAAATAAAGAATGAAAATGTTGGTGCAGGAGGCCAGAAGGCAAAAGAAAAGGAGAGAGGAAGTCTGTCTGAGTGAAATGGAGAAATGGAGAAGGGCAGAAGAGGTGGGACAACAACAAGAAAAGAATACTTTAACACCTAGTGTGAGTGAGATTGTGCATGTATCACTAGTCTGACACCAAACCCAGGCATCACACAGAGAGCATGGCACTGTAACTGGGCACAGGAGGTTGTGATGAATATTTCATAAAGGAGATTGGAACTTATTGAGATGGCTCCCATGACGCGTGTGTGTGTGCATTTGTGTGTATTTGTGTGTAACTGACTTGGCCCCTCTGGAAAGAGGTGCACAGACCGGACCACATATGAGAGACTTTATACATTACTAAATGCAATGAGATTTCCTTCAACATTTCTCATTCATTTCCATCATGTTGGGGTCTGTTCGTGTGTTCACATCATATATGGAGGGTTTCCCTGATGCACCGCCTCCACTAGGAACACATCAGAGGAAATTATTTAGATCATTTTTATTAAATAGAACATTAATAACCTGTATGGCAAAAAAGCACAGGTGCTACAGTAGATCAGACAGCAAAGGCAACATATTTAAGAGTCAGGAACTGTTGTCGGCATCATCTAATAACTAAATTGATGACAATGTGAGATGCTTCAGGATCCATCAGCTCGCTTCACTGTAATCAATCAGAGCAGCACATCGAATGTCTATTTAATATCATCTCTAGTCGTGAAATGTTCTCGCAAACATTAACAGAAACACAAACAGAAATAAACTGAACTATGACATTTTATGAAATTACTCCATAATTGTGTTACAGAATGCTGTTGATGTTTTTAAACATGATCTGAGAGGACATTTTGGAGTTTACGGATGCTATTTAACTCAATAACAAATGTAACGTTAATGTTTGAGACTGCGAGGAGAAAAAAGCTGGTTAATATTAAAGAGCTAATGATCTCTCACACACACACACACACACACACAGATAAAATGTTCTTTTTTTGGGAGGGTGATGTTTTAGAGTTAGACTGACTTGCACTGTTTGATAAGTGTCATCAGTGACAGAGGCAGGCAGTCAATAGCCAACTGTCAGAGCCTTAAGATGAGTATGAGGGAAGGAAGAACACACACACACACACACACACACACACACACACACACACACACACACACACACACACACACACACACACACACACAGAGAGAGTCAGGGTCAGTAATTGAGTGGGAGGGATAAGCTCCACAATATTTCTGTTTGCCTGCCCCCCACCCCTCTCTCTGTCTTTCTCTCTCCCATATACACACACACACACACACACAGTAACACACCAGTCACCCCATCATCACCCAACAAGACCAATTTGTTGCCACGAGTTACCAGCAGGGGCCGGAACAATGTCGGCTGTCAGCCAGAGCAGACGAGGCCGTCATTGGTTTGGTGGTCACCAGTGGTTACAGATGGAGCTGCTTCGTTAGTGAGACGATTTACTCTTTAGGCAGGGAGTCTACACACACACACACACACACAGTCTAAATTTGCAGAGCACAAAAATACTTTTTTTTTTTTTTTCCCCAAACACATCCACGCAAAAGTGCACATACACAAACACAGACACACATGGCCTTGAATAAAAAAGCAATATAAGATAGAGAATAAAAATGCATTGGTGCTGCCCCGTATCAGACAAAACAGAGCGACATTGAGATTAGCGTCATACTGCTGAGAGAGAGAAACAGAGATGTGAATGGTGAAAGGCGAGATATCATACATTCATTTTAAACTGGGGTAGTTGGTGATTGAGTGAGCCAGGCTGTGAATGAATCTGTGTGTGTGTGTGTGTTTGCATTCCCTACGGCCCCTTGGTTCGCGGCGGACATATTGACACAAAATAAACAGCGCTCAATCTCCCGGCCTGTGATTGCTGCTCCGGTGTCAAGATAAGTCCCGGGCCGAGACCGGCCGCTCGCTCAACAATAGAGGACGGAGGAGGAGGAGCAGAAAAGAGGAGAAACATAGAACATCAACATTTGACCAACTTTCTCTCGGCCCCTCGTCACCGATCCAATATCAATGTAGGAACCGTCTTGTGTTGATTTAAAGAAATCTACAAGCTTGGCAGTGTTTAAATTAGTTTATTTAGATTTTAAGCAATTATATACTCCAAGTCAGCAGATCGATGTGACACCAGAAACAGATCTATGCTCAGGATATTGTCAGAGAAACATTTTATATTCCAACAACTTATACTGCGCTGCCTTATTTAAATGAACCTCCATCTTTAAATCGTTCACATAAACTGATCAGTGTCAACCAAGGCTTCAGGTTCACCGGCTGTTGAGATGGACAAATCTGGAATTAATAGTCTAGTCTAGAGGAGACTCCAAAAAAAAGTTTTCTGAACAGAAAGAAAGGCACAAGTGTGACACCACAGACGAAGACAATTTGAACTGTGATGCCAACTACTTGTGAAGTGCCCTTGAGCAAGGCATCTCAACGGCAAGTGCTCCTGAAGCTGCAGCCAAAGTGGAAGACTGATATGAAACCAGAAGAAACTCTGAATGGAGGAAATGGCAGATATAACCTGAACCACGTGTGGATGATTTGGCCTAGGACGAAACAAATGAAGCAGGAGAGACAGGGAGGACGATCCGGGCTGAGGGACGTGAAGGCAGAATTAAAGACAGGGAGGGCATCGACGCATTACAGCAGAGTAGGTGTCAGGGCTCGGAGTTCTTCGCCTGTCTCCCCACCCCCCTCCACCCCCAACCCTCGGGCCACCACCAACACCTTCCACCCCTCTCCTCCAGAAATGAATATTTCTCATCAGCATATGAATATTGCGGGCGTGACAAGTGCGTGTAAACACACAAAGGCGGAGTGCTCAAATCCACTCACTGGGAGCTATTAAGTCGTCAGGCGGCGCAGAGAGGCTGACAGAGGAGAGAAACAGTGTGCATGTATGTGTGTATGGTGACAGGGAAGAGAAGCGATGTAGCGGGCCACTGAACAGAGCAGCCACGGAGAGGGAGAGAGAGAGGGAGGGAGAGAGAGTGGACAGGCAGTCAAAAAAAAACAAGGAAAGAAAGAAAGAATTGCTGGCAGACTGCTAATTTTACTTGTCGCAAGAAAAAAAACACCCAACCCGTGCTCAAACTGTCAACGTCACTGTCACCTCAAAACCCAGGGGAAGGTGTGTATGTGTGTGCGTGTGTGTGGGTGCATGAGGAGAGAAAGGCAAAGACAACGTGTGAGCAAGAGAGCCCTTTTTGAGATATTGTGGGGTCAAATGTGTGTGTGGCGTGCACACACACAGCACAACTAATATAGTACTTGCCAACTTACTCAGTTGTCTCAGGTGTGTTGGAGAGAAAGTGTGTGTGTGTGTGTGTGTGTGTGTTGCGGGTGTCTGGGGAAGGAGCAGGATGTTTCCTCTGATCAATGGAGGACCTGCCAAGGTGACCCAGCTCCCTCTGCCTAACGATGTCTACCTCTTCAACTGTGCTCCTCTCTTTCTTTTCATCTCACTCTTACTCCATCCCTCTCGGTTTCTCTTTGTTACTTATCAACACATTGTTTTGCTTTCTGAGATGTCTTCTGTCACCGCTGGACTTCTTCTCTGCGTGATTATGTTTCCGTCTATCCATTTATTTCGCACAGGGCTGTAGGGACAGCGATGTCAGACGGTTAGTCAGTCTCCTTTATTTCCCTGACGAACCCTGAATAATAATTCAAGGTTTTCGACCTAACCTAAAGTAGCATTGAATGGTGGTACATCTTATTGAGATAATTAATATAATTTATCATCTACCTGCTGCTAAACTTTAACCTTCCACGGGTGCAAGTTCTTTGAACGAGTATATGCACAAACACACAACACAATGATTTGGTATCTGGCCTTGTGAGCATGATCCTGCAACATGTGGAATGACGTGGAGGTGCGTAGTTTCTATGTCGGTGCTTTTTTAGCATGTTTTTGACATATTCTGTGCAGAATCAATATCGACCATAGCTCCAGGTTCAGATTTTTCCCATTGATT